TCTTCATGGTGACTCCTTCTCACTCAGCCATTGTGCGATTTTTTCGATATTTCCTAAGAATCTGTTAATCACATCCCTGTTCTTTGCCCAAGAAGAAGCTTTTCGAAAAATCCACTGAGTATCGCACGAGTGCAAACATTGGGCATCTATAGTGCAAAGGCTGTAACGTCTTGAGAGCGCATTCCAGACCTTATGAGGACACGAATGAGCCAAAATGACTTTGTAAATACTAGAACAGAACGAACGAAATCTGGGACCTAAAGTAACCGTGAAGTAGTTTTACCTTTTTCACGTAGCCGAACGTTCCCTAGATCGGAATGCAGTATTTGTTAGACAGTAGTTCAAAGGAGATAACTCTTTCTACTGTTTCGATATTTTATAATAATAAACAGGTCGGAAGTTTGACAAAATCTTCAAGTGCACACTTTTAACATCCCCTATCGGTAGTGAGGCAGGAGAAGAAGCAGAGACAGATTAGGCTAGTTGTGCAGCGCACTAGCGTAAAGGTAAAGGAGGATTCTACGATAAGGTCGGAGGTCGAAGAAGGGGTACATACCCAGTGGAGGGACAGGCGGACCTACTAAGCGTGCGTACTGACACGCGATTCGCAGCAAAGGATGTGCCCCGGCGATCTAGCATGAGCGCCCACGCGCCGCTAGCGACACACGCCCACCCTTTCGCCGTCTGGGCTCTAGCCGTTTAGCAGAGACAGCGTTCTCGGCTTCTGGACCGTTTCTTAGAGATTTTTCTGCACCCTTGCACCACTCCACATCCACCTTCATTTCTAGAGGGGCTGGCTCAGGGGTAAAAAATGTTATCATTTACAACATTGTCGAGCGCCACGCCGATTGCAGCATTCGTCGTGCAGTGGGTTTTTGTGCCACACTCTCTAAGAAATTCGTAATACCAATGGAAGATTTCCTTGCACATCGAGGACATGAGCAACTTGCCAAGCTTTTGTTACTTCAGAATTTCTCGGTAGGACATTATGGATGAAGGGTAGGGGTGAGGCTCAACGTGACACTGCAGTTACTTCTGCGTATCAGGGTCAACCCTCACTTTCGCCCAAGTTTATAAATAGGTCCATCGCTTAGTGGGATTTTTTCCTATACGACCCTTTACCTCATTGGTCGCGACAGTGGCGTTGTGGACCTGGCACTACTTGACACACTTCAACTCGTTCAGTATGCTGAAGCACTTAAAGGCATGCTCTATCATCAATTTGGTGTGGTTCTTGCATGAATATGGAAGTACATATTGGTGCGAAATGTGCCGGCAGTAAAGAAAAAGAAAAGACTATCGAAAGCATTCAGGCCAACGCTTGCTCACTTTCGTGGTGCGGCCCTGCTAAGGCAATGAGAGACTGAACACGAAGAGGAGAGTACGAGATGGGAGAGCGCAACAGATGAGAGGGCGCTAGACAAGTCTACTGGGGACGGGGAACATCGCAGCTGCTGCAGCGAACTTTGCAAAACCACAGCGTCCTTAACAGATGATTTCCAAGCACGGGGGGGGGCACATGTGGGATTGCACTCTCAGGTCTATCCGAAATACCGGAGGCAATCGTTCACACGTTTTCCACCTGCGAGATCTATGGGATTTCCACCTATGAGATCTCATGGGACCCAGTAAAGGACAGTATCGTGAGCTTGCTCTCCTTCCACAAGACAAAAGATTTCTTTACCAACAAAAAAAATGTGTCAAAATAGTTGCTTACCCAACATTGGAACCTTTTTCGTTGTTGTCGTTGGCGCGGTAGATGCCAAAAAATTCGGCTGGAACACAAATGGCGCGAGTGTTTGCGCTCCGTTTCGGCCACTGAATCCGTTGCCACCATGGAATCCCTGGGACATGCCACCGGCCGTTCCACTGTTGCCACCATTCCACTGCCCGTTTTCTCCATTATAGGGCTTCAAATTTCCGTTAGAGGCGGCCGAGTGATCACCTCCGTAGTTCGTGTTACTGTATTTGTTGTTGTTATTGTTGTTATTGAAGTTGTTGTTGTTGTTCCCGCCCGGATTCTCCTTTCCGAAAAGTGGACCAAAGTTGAACGAGTTTGAACCGAAAAAATTCGGCATTGAATTCGATTGTGATGGGTTTGGCATAAAGGCGCTTGGGGTGGAAGGCTAAAAAAATAGAGTCAATAAAAAAAATCGAAAAAAAAAACTGAGAAATGGCATGCTCTCGAGTCACTCACAGCTTTTTCATAGTTCCCAAAGGAATTGAAAGATGATGACCCTTGGTAGTAGGAGGATTGCGGTTTCGTACATGACAAGGTCTCGAGCTGTGGGATGGTCCCATAGGGGCAAAGGCATCGAAGGCGTTCCTGATCGCATACCGTACCTCCGATGCAGGTCTCACCATGTGCGCAGCTATTATTAAGGATTGCTGAAATTCAACATATCAGCAGCGAATAAACTTTCTGGAAAAAAATTGATAAAAAGGAGAAATGTGGCTGAAATCGTATGAATTCCTATAATAGATTTTCTGAGAAATGTCAAGGAAGTTTCTCAAGGCACTGGTTGCGTTGGTTGAACGGCGGAGTCAATGTGGGGGGTACCCGACACGAGGCCCGTCGCACGGCGAGATAGCAGAGACGCAGACTGTTAGCGCGCAAATCGCAGCGCGCACTGTATCGATTAGCGACACGTCAGATAAAGCTTCGCGTGCCATGCTGTCTCATATCGCACAGTGCACGCCGCGACTTGTCCCTGACCCATCTGCGTGTCTCCCATCTCGCCGCGCGACGGGCTTCCTGTCGGGTACATCAAATTGGGTATGCAGCATTTGTGGAGGAATGTTGAAAAGTGATGAAACAAAAACGCGTCTCTACCGATTCGATTCCAGGACGATTTTCTGAAATTCGGTCCTCACCGTTCCCTTGGTTGGTTGCCGCTAGCCGCCAGGGAGCCTGGCTAAGTGACCCACTTAAAACCTTTCCCAAATTGAAAACAAGGCGTGGAACGGGCGAGGGTATGTGGAGAACAAAATCGAGAAGTTAAGGAACTGCAAAAATGGGATGATTATTGACTACTTGGAAAACATTTCGTACTATCGTGACACTTATGTAGAATACGAGGAAATTGGGGGGGGGAGGGAAAACGATTGCAGTGTGTAACAAAAGTTGCTCTGATTGGATAACATGTAAGTTCACAACAATGTTTTTTGGAGCAAGAAAAGAAGACTGAAGTCAAATGCTGCGGTCATGGCCGAAGGGTTGCGGTTGCATAAGGTCATTGATGAACTAGACTTGTTGGTAGGTTGGAAGGAGAGAATGGGACCTCCTCCTAATGCCTTTGCGGCACTGACGTTCAATGACGTCATCAAACCGCCTCCAATCACTGTGAACGCTGACTTTAAGTTTACCAAATATTGACTACGAAGATGTTGAGGCATCCACCCCGACCACCTCAAAACCTACTTGGAAGAATTGTCCACCGAACGAGTTGCGTGTTCATATTACCGGTATGTGTGACACTAACCCAGCACCAAAACCTCAAAAAGCCGCCAAGTGGGCGAGGGTTGAGATAAAAGCCAGAAGCTCCAGCTAGCTTTCTCTAGATTCCTCTTTCACATATCACTGCACCTCTGTCCTCCCGTAGTTGAATTCAATATGTGGACCTTCAGGACCAGGGTGAAAATTGGTTGAGGAAACGGCAACGGCTCGTCGAGGATTCTCGCCAATTAATTCACGCTCTTCCGAGCGGATATTCACTCTCGTCCCCGGATCGGGGCGATTCCGTTGCTTCGACCAACCTCGAGAGCTTCGAGCAACGCCCCAGATTGATTTGGTGGGAGCAAAAAGCGGTCGATAATGAAGCTATGGATATCATGTTGACTGCAAATGAAAAAAGAAACAAAAGAAACCGCCGACGAAAACCTTGAGCAAGGACTATCCTTGAAATAAGAGACGGGCGTGTCGGACGAGTTGTCTGAACTAGCTTTCATTTCTTGCTGGCTCTTGCTCTAACAAGGAACGCAATTTCAATCGCGCATGCACTAACACAAACGAAGAAAAACGGTACCAAATCACACGAAATCGCGCAATAACCACGCAGTCACGCAAGGACGTGCAGCCGATGTAATTCGTCCAAAGGCCAAGATCAGTGGCCAAAAGCCAGCTTTGTAAGACCCTAGCACCGTTGTCGCGCACATTCCAGCCGCGACAACGGCTTTCTGTGCCACACCTGCTACTCTATCCCACCCAATGATGATTTTTCGAGTTGATTTGTGCTGGGGTGTTGCCTTAACCCTACCCTAAAAACATGTTTAGGACTCCAGGGTAGGGTTATGGAGAACGAAGGTATAGCATAATGAGAAGAAAAAAATCGGTCCTTACCAATATTAAGTATCGGCTGTTTACGATGCTTATGTTTTCTTTCCCGGCACTGCTGATTGATAAAGTCAAAGACCATTGCACCAGGGCAGACCTTACGTTCCCAATAGCCCATTGATCTGTAAATGAATGTTTTTAGTTTCAATTCTTTACCATAGTATATGATTTAAAAGTAATGCATTTAGCCAATCAAGTGTACTAAACGAACCCTTCGCCAGGACTTTGACATGATAGGAATGCAGACGGGTCTCCATCTGGGTCAACAGCTAGTAAACCGTCGAGTTCGCGATTACATGGCAAGTTCAAACCGATATCTGATGCTGGAAATAGAAGTGTTGGTTATTTGCTGTAGGTTTAGGTCTTGCTTTGAATTTTTAAGCCCTCTGTTAGAATAGCTCCTGTAACCTCAAGATGACCAGCGTTTAGGATGCGCCATGCACTCGTCGATCAATTTGGTTTGAGAGTGCGTGTTCACTTCAAAAGGAGAAAAAATTTTTCCTGTCGATTTCAAATTTCCACTCATTCCGACTAAGTATTGTTATATCGCAGCACGTTCACGACCTCACTTCTCTAATTGTAATCGTTTTATCCAAGAGGGAAACTAGGTGGTTAGTGGGCAACCCCTTCCTTGAGAGGCGCTATTGAGCACACATTGCAAAACTCTTTCCCCTGCCGGGAATCGAACCCGAGCCGCGTGGATGAAAACCAAAAATCTCAACCTCTAGACCACATGCGACATAAACTCATCCGGGGAAGTGCTCTCTACAAAATTTCGCTGTACTAATTCTTCTTGGGAATCGCAACCCTGCGCAATTGTCCACCCATTGGAAAAGAATCAGTGATAAATCTGGGACGCAGCAGTAAGGCGCTAGCGCGCAGAACTCTAATACCAACCGAGCCTCATGTTCACGCACGATTAGTGAGAAGGAAATGAAGAAGCGAAAGAAAGGCGATCTTTCAAGGTAAGGGTAGTCGTTCTCGGAGCTGCGGCTGCTCCGTGCCGCAATATTTGACTATGAAATTCCGATCTGACCCCATTCACGGGCTCTCAAGTAGGAATTGTAGATGTAGTTCCTTAGATGTCTGTCCTGTCCTCAAAGCAATGATCGGCATTAAATTGATGTGGTAACCTCCCCAAAATTAAGAAAGTAGACATGGAAAGTGGACGAAAAGCGAAGAAAAAGGATAAATCGTCATAAACAACAAAAAATAAGATCATCCTTGCTTTACACTGTGAAAATGCTTGAAGGGCAGAAGAATATGAGATAGTATGGATAGCAGGGAGGGTCTAGGAAGCATAGCAGATCAGCAGTGCGACGCAGACAAGATATCGAACGGTAGGTGGGCCTCGATAATTACGGGCGTAAAATGGTTCATGTCCCAAGCACCTAGCGACGTCTTAATGCGTTTAGGGACCTGCAGGGGCAGGCTTGGTACCTCTATTCACGTAAGACTTGGATATAGAAGTTGTGCTTACCCTGCCTATAAATTCATATTTTACCCAAGACGATGAAGGCCAGACCTTCGCATGTCGGTAGGTGAGACCTACTTCTGCTATATCCAAGAGATGTCTTTATGACAAGGCCAGGTAGACCTGAACTAGGATGAGGGAACCTGCACTCCTGCACAGTCAATCGTAGCATTAATTCGGTAAGGATCTTTCATAATCTTTCCATTCAACAGCGCCTAGCCACTGACCAACTTGGCCGGATGTTATCGGCGTCACGAAAGAATAGGAGGGGAAGGGCGCTGCTTGCTTCTAATTAACCTTTGCTTTGGCGCTGTGCGAACACTGAACATGGCAAACATAGCGCGTGTGAGATGTCATTTGACTACGTGAAAGTTCGCAATGCTTAATAGCTTGTGCCGCAAAGCAATTTGCTCTCACAGTAATCGTTAAGTAAAACATTACAAGCAAGTAATTCGCAAACAAGGTTAAGGGTTTGCTTAATTGGTAAAAATCTCGCGGTGGTTTCACCCTTAGAGCTCACTAAGGCGGTAGATGGCGCCTGCATGTTTACATAGGGCTCGATATTCTTGTGGGTTGGTATGAAACAAACAAAGCTCTAGAACAGTTAAAGTCACAGTGGAGGATTCACGCACATGGTGTCTCGTTTGCCATGCAAGAAGACGGGGATCGTATTGAGGATTTCAGGATCGTCCTAGGCAATGTATTCGGAGAGTGGGGATAATGAGGTTTGGGGAAATGGCATGAAATTCGCTGCCTCTCCTCACCCTTGTTGGAGAGTTTCAAAGAGGGAGGGTAAGTTGGAAGTGTGCTAGTAGAGGTCTTAAGAGTAAAGGGGGGGGGGCACGAAGCGGGTCGTAGTCTTGAGTGAGGTAAGGAGGTGGTCGCATGGCTCAGCCCATTTAATTGAAACGAAATCAATAAGCAACCGTAAGCTGGGCTTAAAGGCAGTGACCACGATGGCTGGAGAGCGATGCGGAATGATGACGTCACTGAATTTCACTGGATAACTAAACCCCACACCGCAGTGAAGGAGTGTTGGGGACCGCTCTTATTACCATTCTACATACGTCTGTGACGTCATCCAAGTCGCACCGCCTTCCAGCCACGCCAGCAGATGGCATACCCTCAGCCGAGAAGACCTTCAATTTAATACTGTTGTAAGGCAGCCCGTACAAAAGAATATCTTCAGGATAGCAGTAATGAGTCTTAGTGAAACGTGCAACGTTGGAAGGAGAAAAATCAGTCATGAATAGTGTATGCAACGGCTACTGCGTGTTGACGTGACCTTTCAATCATTTGTGTGTATGAGCGCAAAGCACATGCATGGCGTCTACTCGAGGGAATGCATCAGGTACACTGCTTCCCAGACTGAGTGCTGGAAGCAAAACTCGTGAAGCTCATCTAACTCTATCGAGTTTTCTACTTAAGAGACTCTCAGATTTAAACCAGTTGTAGGGTAATCAGGCGGGTTACCGTAGTTGGGAGCGCCAATTGTACGTCGTCTGTGCCTCTGGCCGAGACAATGGTAACATTAGTAAAATGAAATCAGGGGAATATGGCCACTTCCTAGGGTGGGAAGAGGTCACGTGAAAATCATGAAAGTTACAAATGTGAAAATCCACAGTATCTCGGCGAGACAGCGCAGACGATCAGAAAAAGGCGCCGTCGATTGCCCTCCCCCTTCGGAGTACTGTAAGGACTTTGCCACAACGCATTTTGACATATGCCATGGAACATTATGGTGAAAAAATTATGTACTTACCTAGTATAAATTTAAGAAGTACTATGGCGAGTAACTCCCGCATGTTCACGTTCGTAAAAAGCAATATCGTGCGTCGAAGGAACGATGTCGAGCGATCGTAGGTCTGTAAAAAGGGTGTGATGTCCGAAGTTGACGAAAACGAACAACTGCAGACGTGACCACATAAGAGTAAGTAATGAAAGCCCGGGAAGTGACAAGTGTGTTTGAAGAGTACGTGTGTCATGAGAAAGGCGAACGGCGAGTAAGGCGTGAGGTCGAGTGGGTTCACCAGAAGTGGCCCGATCTCTCCCTACCGCCTTCCGCACGTCATCCACCTCAACGTGCACGTGAGAAGTGTTCAGTTTGATGACTGTCCAGTTAAGAGGTGAGCGGGCAACACTTGAGACTCAAACATAAGTCAGGTATTGAGATGATATGGACTGGATGAAAGACTTTGAGCGAACCAAGCACTATTTTGACCACTACACTCCAATACTTAAAGGCAGTGAATACGATTACTGTAATTAAATTTCGAATCAAAGTGGAGTTGCTAATTGGTGCAGCAGTGGTGAAAAGCAGAGGAATCTGTCGAAAACCCGCGATATGGGACCTTCACATATTCCCGCCAGATTTGGACGAGTTTATGGCGCCGAAGTGGTATACCATACCATAAACACAGATTCTTAATAAATGAAGATAGCACTGCTTGCTCCATTATAATAATCGCTCCAAGGAGCTATTAATGGCTGCCCAGCTTCTCTGGGTCTTCGGCTGAGGCCAGGAGTGATCCCTATACCGTTCGTGTGAGAGCGCGCCAACTGCCACCACACCAACACCTTTTAAGTACAAATTGGAACCACAATTCGTAAATAATATGTGGGTGTCCCAAATGTTTTGATAAAATTCGATCTGCTTGTTCAACACAAAATTCCTACGAAAGAAACGTAGGATCAGTAATCTTTGTGAATCCGAAAAAGAAGCCCAGTTTTCACGCGTTTTTGTTTGGTCATCTTCTATCTGATTGAACAAAATGTATGTACATAATAGTTACGATTAGATTCATGATAGCTCGTTATCAAAGATTTATTTTCAGGAACCACGTAAAACGACAAGTGTACCTGATCTAAACGCTGTTCAATAAACTGACCGCAAGATAACTCGCTTCAAATGTAGCGAATCAACTTAAAAACAGAGTATGCGCCTTTTTTGAGGCTTAGCTTGGCTCAGAACTCTCAACCTCAAAACATTTTCCAAATTGGCAAGCAGGAGCTTAAAGGCCAAGTACGGCATTGGACTGATGTATTGCGCTTGCAAGTGACAGTGGATATGTAAACTGTAACGCCAGCACAGAAAAAAAAACGAGAAGAAACTGTCGACGAGGCCGAAATTAGAACCCTTTCCCAGAAGCAGCAAAGTGAGAAAGCACTGATTGTGGGCGGGCTCAATGGTCTGAGCAGGGTCAGTGCTGCATCCTAAGGCCTTAGCCCCTCGGCCTTGTCAAATCATCCTAAAAGTTGTGCACGTGCTTTCCGCTTACGTACCACTGCTTTTTTCTCGGGAAGAAGCTTAGTTTGACCCGAAATCGCAGCACCTTCAAGTGTGAAAGGTTCCGAAGCTATTAGATATGAAAGGAAATTCTCCTTGAAAATGAGAAAGGAGGACATTGAAGACGAGGGATGAAATGGAAGAAAGGCATCAATGAGCAGGTGAGCAGGCATGGCTCAATTCGTGAGTTTGCAGTGCTATTTCCATAAATCGACTAGTTATAGAGCCCATGCCAATGTAATGACGGTGAATACCTTTCTTTAGTTTGCAGAGCTCCTGATCAGCATGTCATAAACGAGACTACTCGGTGTTTGGTTCTAATTAAGGTGAGGCGTCAAAAGTAACGGCCGTGAGCAATGACCGAGAAATGATGGTTAGGGATAATTAATGAAAAACTCACCTCCATCAAAATCCTGGAAGTCCAATTTCTCTGTAGAAATTCTGTATAGAGTGCTCACACTTTACTATTGTGATAATGACAAAATTCGCTTGAAAACGGCAGTGGTTCAGTGGTAGGCGGCGTCAATTACCACGTGCAACATTCGAGAAACAATCCTGGATTGTACGCCGTAAGACCTAACCAAATCTTGAGGGCCGATTGGTCAGTTGCTACCAGACAGGTCTGGGAGCACAGACACACTGACGCCTATCGGCTGGCCCTGTAACCATCACCGTTCACTACCCTACCACGATCCTAAATAGAAGTAGATTGCGTGGCTTACCCCAAAATGCTAAATAAATCGTTCTGCCTTTAACTTCTCACACGCTTCTCCTTTTACGAGTGCATGGAGAAAATGGCGAACAACACGGGGGAAACGAATTTTGGAAAATTAAAAATTTGTCTAATATGTTCCAGCTGAAGAGCATGTGCCTGAGTTTCGCTCAAAACCATAGACAGAGAATCCAGGCTTGGTCGATTAAAAAAGATTAGGCCGCGGATTTCAAGGTTCGTCAAAAATCAATTCACAAAATCTCGTAA